ACCCGGGACATCACTATCATGGAACCAGTACGTGTGCAGTAGGGCTCCGGACTCCACTGAAACCTTCAGGCCGATAAAGCGGTACAAGAGGCTGCTTCAGTGTTGCCAAGCGCCGCACGACCAAATCACACGCCGAAAACGCAACTTTTGGGGATTTTTTACGCCCTTTCTATTGCGCATTCGGGAAAACGGCTCAACTTAACCTCTAGAATTGGTCCATAGAGTCTGTAAAAAAAAAAATTTAGCCCAATCGGAGGCAGCAGGTCCGTAAGTTCCCCTTGTGAGTGTAAACAATGCGACATCGTAGCTACCTGAAACCGCACAGAAAATAGTCCGGGTTCAATCGCGAATATCTCAGCTTCTACTCGTAAAAGTGAGCTAATTTTTTGGCTTTCCCTTAATTATGAACTTTATAACAATCTATTAAAGTTTCATCAACTTTCATCGAGAGCCGCTGAGCCCATGCTCTGTGCGGGGTTCTTTCACGAAATACAGGGTTATTAGAAAGTTACGCACCACTGGCCATAACTTTAGTTCTAATTATGATATCGATTTGCGGTTTGTGGCGTCCTTCCTCATATCGAGGGGGAAACTTTTTGAGGTACTTTTCAGTTCTTCACTCCCCCCCCAGGGGGAGGGGGGGCGGGGGGCAACTCAAAAATTTCAAATGGCAACCCCCATCATGTGGACCGCATTTTGCAATTTGGACCTATAAATTCCGGCCCGGTTTAAAAACAACGTATGTGCCATTAGTTTCCCTATGCACATAAGTGTTTTTTCAGATGAGCCAGAATTTATAGTTCCGAATTGCAAAATGCAGTCCATGTGATACATCGTTAGAAAGAACATGAAAAAAGAAAATTTTGGCGCAAACCGGAAGTCGATCTGACCCCCCTGTCAAAAGTTAGGGGGGTCCAAAGGTTATTTAGGGGTCCGTACCTTCATTTTTTAGAGTAGCTTCGGCGGCTCTTGGACATACCATTTCTCTTTTCAAAGAGTCCTCGAATACTCCAAGTCTGATACCGAAGTCTTCATATTGCCCCCGGGCCACCA